AGAGAGAGAGAGAGTGAGCACGAGCTGGGGAGGGGCAGAGAAAGAGGGAGACACAGAGTCCGAAGCAGGCTCCAGGCTCGGGGCTGTCAGCACAGAGCCCGACACAGGGCTTGAACCCACCAACAGTGAGATCATGACCTGAGCTGAAGTCCGGCGCTTAACCGACTGAGCCACCCAGGAGCCCCCTAGATTTAAGTTTTAAAAGGAACAGAGGAGGGGGGTCCTCTGATTTCAGCTCAGGTCGTATCTCGCAGTTCGCGGGATCAAGTCCCATGTGGTGCTCCGTGGTTCACTGTCTGCCTCTCCCTTGCTCATTCTTGATATCTCTCTCTCTCTCAAAATAAATAAATAAACTTAAAAAAATAAAAGGAACAGAGTAAAGCATATAGTCTCCTTTTGACCGGTTCCGCCTTTTAAGGTCGGTGGTGGCTTTATTAAAAGTCTACTCCCAACCACTCTGGGACTCTTGGGGATGTTGGGAGGAAGGCACTAACAGCCTTGGCGACTGGGCATCCGTGGAGACCAGAAAGCTCCCCTCGTAAATGGGACCCACTCATCAAGAGTCCAAAAAGTTCCATGAAGGTGCAGAAAATCCCAGGTGCCTTCACAGTTGTGCACCGTGGTCTACCATAGATGCTCGAATGGCGTCTTAACGCACTGGCTCGAGGAATTGGGTCCAAACACTTTGGCCAGGGTGCTCCCCACAGTCCGTTTGGATTAGCTGTGTTTTACATTTGAAACAGATTGTTTTGGAATTAGTCAACGGAAACTAAAGAGGGAAAGTTCATGTGGCAGGTAGTTAATTCTTTGACTTCGAATCTTCTGAGGTGAAGTTTTACTAACTTGAACATCATGTGTCATCTAGAACGCAAGTTGAGAAGTACACTGTGATTGAAGTCACTAACTAGGGAATATGACAAGAAAAAATGCCCTGGGGCATCGCTAGGTTAGATTTGAAGAACTTTGTGGCCATAAGCGATAGAACCTCTTTAGCAGGGATTCCCTGGGTTTTGTGCAGCACTTTCAACATCTGTACGGCACAGGCTTCACGTCACATCCATTTGCGACAATTTGATTCTACTTAAATAAAGCGCAGAAGGTGCCTTAAAGACCGAAAACACTGCGTGGAGGCGTTAAATGCTATTAAAATCTTATAGCTGAGGTTTCTGTTTCAGTGGAAACCTATTTATTGTTTCCTAGGCTATTAAAATATTATTATATTTTCTCTGGGCTCTTTCCATGACCCCAGCTGATGAAAGGCCAAGAACACCCTTGTCCAAAAACTGAATTACATCATTTAAGTGTAACAATGTTTTCACGATTCCGAGCTATAGTGAGTCTGTTGCTTCTAAAAGCAGACAAGGCATTCTTGCTCAGACAGGAAAATGTAAAAGAGCCAAGGAACACATCCATCCGTAAATACGAAGCTTACAAGACCACAAAACTCAAACTCGGACACGTGAATTCGCCGTCAAATGTGGCGTTGGAAGGACCTGTCGCTAGGCCGTCGCTCTGGGTAGCATGTGACAGCGTCTGTCTCACCCAGTTGTATCATTAGGAGACCTCGTGTTTTAGGTTAAGGGTGCGTCATCCCAATTTTCTGGCTTTGGAAGGAAGCAGGTCACCTGAGCCAGGGACCTGTGCCCTCCCTGGACGTTTGATGCCCGGGACATTCTGGCCCTTTGCTCCTCTCTGGAGCCTGAAGTTTCCACGACCTCCATCTCTCCCTGAGCCAAACGAGAGGCCCCCTCCATTAAAAACAAAACAAAACAAAACAAAACTCTAGTCTGAGCTGTTCCAAGAATTATGCTAATGGATTGCTTGTACTTTCAAAGCGTAAACCAGGTCCTTAAAATGGCAACGACCTATTAGAATAAATTACTAATTCATATGAAAAGGTCACGCATGGTGGCCTCCAAATGTGAAAGCCCTTTTTAAAAATTAAAACTTTTAAGGCCAGGGGTAGGTCAAATGCGAGACGGAAAACTATAGCCGGTGTCAGCTCACCACACCAATTAAGTAAAATCTCGTCTTTCCGTTTGTGTTGGGTGAAAACAGAAAGCCGGACAGACCACAACGAGCTTGTGTTTCAGGGCGCTCGGTGCCATTTGCTTACCTGTAAACCCTTGATTCCACCTGCTGTCATTTATTTACAAAGTAAATGCCTTGTGTGTCCGCCAGCGGCCACAACGCCATATAGGTGAAGCCTATGCCGAAACAAAACAAAAACCCCTGGAGGGTGGCCTGCTGGGTTAGAAGTCGAAATGAGTGAAGCCCTGACCTTGCTGGATACGTTTCTGGGACAATAGCCCCCATTGTGCCTTTGCCTGGAATATGTGTCTGTGTGTGACATGGGACAGCTTCACCCCTTTCAGAGTTCAGGTGTGATGTTTATCGAGAAGGGGGGAGACGGTAACCCAGCTCCAGGATTTCCAAATAAGAAGACTCAGCAGTAGAGTCACCCCAGTGATGTGTAGCTATTGGCAGAAGTATGGAGGCCGTCTGTATTGGTTACCCTTTAGCTTGTTCCTCTTAAATACAGTGTATTTGTGTTTTGCCACATCAGAAGCAGGAAGGAAGATGCTTTTGAACAAATGGAGCGTAACAGAAACTTCTGGCCTGTTCCTCCTCCTTATCCATCTTTGCCAGTTTTCAAAAATGACGATCAGTTCGTCGAATTCAATCAAGAAGTTTTTATTGAATAGGGGAAGATAACCAGTCGTTTCGGGGCTAGTCGGCGAATGATTGTGAGTGAGCCGTGACCCCTTCAAAAAGCCGCGGAATCCTTGCCCGTGAGGCCTTCCCGTCCAAGCGGCCTCTAGGCGCATTTGGGTCTATCCCTTTAACCATCTTCATCCACTTGGGTTTAGGGGAAAAGCATTAACCTCCAACATATCTCTTTGGAGCTCTTTTCAGAAGAAGGTGCATTTTGGGGTGGAAGGAAGGGAGGCCAGGCCGCAGCCGGAAGTGTCATGGGAGACGTGGCTCCGTCTGCGTGAGTGTGCGGTGGGAAGGCGTGCTCAGCAGTTCGCGGAGGTTGGAGAAGGTCGGAGGCCCTCGGAGGCCTAGCAGCTGCAGGTTATGAGGGTCCGGAGCGGCTTTTGCTTCCTGTTCTTCGTGCCCAGGGTCTTTAGCGACTTTGCGTTGCCCTCTGTTGTCTTTCAGAGCCATAAAAAAAAAAGGGGGCGGGGGGGCCTTGTAGAGCAGGGATAGAGGTGTTACCTGACGGGGCCAAGAGAAATAATAGGTAACCTCTCCTTCTCTCCACCTCTTCTTACTTTTCGGCAAAGGGGGATTTCAGTAGTTCAGTTGAATGGTTAACAGTGTCCTTCTGCTTTCAAAGAAAACTTAGAATGTTACAGACAGTGTACTCAAGGCCTCTGGAAGGATCCACAGCCCCCACCTCTCCCGGTACCCCTAGGTATGGTAAGCGTGTTTCCGTTTACAGGTGGGCTTCCTTCCTTCCTTTTTCCCTAGCCACCCCACGCTTTCCTGACTGTTGAGAAAGTCAGATAAGGCCAAAAGTAAGGGAGAGAGTTTCATGACCACTTTGCCCATCTGGGTTTCCTGGCAGGTAGGCCGGCCACACACCCAAGGCAGTCGCCGAGTCTTATCACCTGGGCGCCAGGTGGGCCACATGGCCCGACCACCTGTTGAATGGATGAATGAATGAATGAAAGAATGAACTGTACCCAAGCAGACACCCGTGTGGCAGCAAGTGACTCATCCAGGGTCCCAGGAAAAGTGAGCGACGGCTCTGAGGAACTTTAGCGTCGCTGCCCTGAACCCCAGTGCGCTCCTACCACTCCTGGGGTGGGGACACTTGAGAGTTTTCCAACAAATTCGTGGTCAATAAACTACTTCTCCGTCTGTTGCAGGGGCTCCCCCGCAGTGCCCGGGCCGGGCCGCGGGCCTCCAGGACACCCCTCGGCCCTCCACCCCTCCAGCCTGGGAGGACGCCGCCGCCGCGCACCAACTCTGCGGCCTCCGGCCACCGCCGCTCAGGCTCTCGCGCGCTCGTCGCCAGCGCGCCGCCCGCCTCCTGCTCCTTGGCGGTAGGGCTGGCTTTGCGCTCGCACAGCGCCTCTCACCGCAAGAGCGAAACCCTTTCCAGGCGTTGCGATTAATTAGTCTTGCCGACACCTAGCTCCACGGGCACGCGCCGCCGGGGAAGGGAGGGGTGGGGTGGCGGTCCCCGCGCGCGCTAACCGGGAAACTGGAGGTAAGGAGGCGCGCAACAGGGGTAAGCGCCGCCGTCGCACACTTTGTACGCCGCCCAGGGCTACACCACTCACCGAAAATTGGGAGGCAGGTCTGGGAGGCGGGGTCCGGCGCCCACCGCCTTGGGCGGCCCCGCGCCCCGCGCCGCCGCGCCCCCCGCGCCCCCCGCCCACACTCGCACCACCCGCACGGTGGCCCGCACCCCCTGGGTGCGCGGCGGCCCGTTTGGGCGCGTCTCCGGCGGGCCGATTTTTCGGCTTCCCCTTCGCTTTATAGGGGCCGCCGCT